CAACCAGTTTTTCAGCTGCATTTCCTGAGAAATTTATATTTGATTTTGCTTCAACTCAGAAACCCAGCCCGCCTGTGCCTTCTCTGATAAGTTAACTGAACTGTTCAGTGACCATTATTCTCTCAAGGCAGGCAAGCAACATCAGTTATCTGCTAAAAGCTAATAAAAGTCCTGGCTGGTTTAGCAGACAGTGCTAGCACTGGGATAAATACAGATAAGAAAATGACTAACACGACCTCTCGGGTTGATGATCCCTGTCTGCTGGTTCTGTGCAAATAAAGAGCAGAACATTTTTGGCTGGGCTAGATTTCTTCTTCTCCCCTTCCCTGTTTCTTGAGAACCATGATGAAATACAGGCTCCGTTGAGGGTCTCCCTGTGGGAATGGTTACTCTAATGGCTGCAGCAAAAGAGCAGCTAACTTCATGTAGCATGTCTCAACGCTTCTTTCATTTGTGAGAATGAACAATGTGAACAGTGCAAGGTGTGGGCTGGGATTCACAACCAAATTTGCAGCAGGCCTGGCCATGTCATTAAACAGATAGAGGAAGTTGCTCAGGAGGCAGATGCTGGGAGGACAGGCAAGGAATGATGGCAAGATGTTGGAGAACAGCTTCACCTGCCGCATGACCTGCCCTGGGCCCACTAAGAGACTCTGCTGCCTTCAGCAAAGCAAGCTGTCCTGGCACTAGTTAAGACTCAGGCTCACTGAATTCTGTACATGGAAATCGGGAGGGAGTTCTCTTGGCTTTGCCTCAGGAGGCAAAATGTCTTGCGTAGGCCATGTTCTGCAGTTGTGAGCAGTGAATATTGTTCACTTATATTTTCATGGGAGAAGCAATTCCTTCCTTCTGTTTCCCAAAGGGAACATCCAATAAGAACCTTGCTGTTGGCTTTTGCCCACCCGGAGTGAGGCACTCCGTGGAGAACTGACCCTGTCCCTGTATGCCTACTGTTTGTGTCTATGGTGCCACCCTAGACTGTGTTTCTTCGTCACACTAAAGTGTGTGCTAACATGTGAGAAAAGGTGGCTTTTATGTGTTTTATTCTAGCAAAAGAATAATTGTACTGCACTTGATTCCTTTCCAGCATGAGTTTCGTGCTGCCATTTGCAGTTTGCATGCAGTCACTGCTCCGGGTTGTGATCAGGTTGACACATTTGGACCAGTGGCAGTGAGCACGGGAAAGCATTTCTTCAGTGTGAACAAAATGGGTGACAGTCATCAGCAGTGATAATGTCGTGGATGCACCCTGGCATACTGAGATGTTTTCTTCTCCTGTGAAAATCAGTTCTGGATTAGTAGCATTCAAGTTGAAAGCCATCTTGATAATCACTTCAATGTAAAGCAGTTTCTGCTTATTTGCCATCAGCATGTCTAAATGCTGGCCATAGTTTGTATACACTACATTTCACAATAGATCATCTTAAGTAAGAAGCTATTGAGGAATGTGGGGTGGGAAAGAGCTGTCTCTTCCTTTTTGCAGCTGTACAGTTGAATAAGCACTAGAAGCTGAAAAATACAGTATAATGGATGTGTGGGAATTTTGCTGCCTTCACCCCTTGTCAATCACAAAATGCTTTGCAGCCAAGAAACATGTGGGCTAGTATTGCCAGGTCCCACAGTGTTTCCTGAAGCATTAAAATTCTGCATTTGACATAAGGGTGGGATGGGAAGGTGAAAACCGATTAGAAATGGAGGAAGGGAGAACAACTGGCACTGTTTTTCTACAACCTCTGCTGCAATAACCTATTATTGTCTAGGCCCTCCTTTTAATTTCAAGATAAGAGAGAGGGAAGGAGGGAAAGAGGAAGGAACATCAGCAAGGCATGTACTCTAGGTGAAAAGGCAGTTGTGTTAGCAGAAAGCATATTGCCTACAAGCTGAATGCACTTTTCTCTGAGATTCCTGCTGTGATTCAAAGAGCACCTCTTCCTTCTTTCTTTTCCACACTTAACATTTCTAGTTCTCATTGATGCTCATAGAGGGAATGCTTAGAAGCCCTAATTTTAAGAGAAATAAAATTGTATCCAGAGATGCCCAGTTTTTTTATCATAATGTTTTTGAGATCCTGGCACTTGCTTTGTGGTATTTTTGGTCATGATCACAGATGAAAGGAATATAATCTAGTTTCCATCATGTCTTTTTTTGTGTACTTTTTAAAGAAAAACTTTAGCAGTCACTCTTTGGACCATGCTACATTTTTCTTAGAATGCTCTGTATTTGAAAAACATCCCTGCTCTCAAACCTGAACCAGGGATGCCAAACTTCCTTCAGCCCAAGGGAGAAGCTTTCAGGGGTTGCATCCCAGTGATGGGTGGAAGGAAAAGTAAAAGAATCAGAACCAACATACCAGCCTATTGTAGTTTATGGAAATGGCCCTATAAATGTTTTAACGGGAAAAAAGTCCTACCAATCCTAGCATGGCTGGCTTGGGCATTCTGGGAGTTGTAGGACATTTTTCAGGCTCAACATGCAAAGAGTGCCTTACATTTTATAGTGCTAGTAACCAAGGCTTTTAGAATAGGGGCGAAGCTGGTAAGGAAAGGGGATGGGGCCAGGGAAAGTGTACGGCTATCAAAGAAAACCTCCAAGAGATGAGAAGTACAGATGGGCTGGATTTGACCACTGGGCTTGAGGTTTGGCACCTGAGGCTATAAGTACCAAACAGGAGCTGATGAAATTTAGATTGCCAAATCCTTGGGACAGGTGCCTGTCTGTTCTGCTTGTGCATAACTCTGATGAGTGTCATGTATGTTGACAGTGTTATATAATAATGATAGCCTGAATCAAGATGCAACCACCTGTTAGGAGTAGTTGCACTAACAGAAAGACACTGAAATATCCAGACTTTTGAGTATTTGTGCATTTGAAGAGCGATTATGGCAGAAGTTCATACTAAAAATCCCTTGGATGAACTACTTTCAGAACATTACTCTCATTGTACAGAGATATAGAACAAGGAGACTGTCAATCATAAAGGAAATATTCTTTTATTTGGGGACTACCTCTTGGAGGTGATTTGAAGAGTCTCCTCAAGTAAACAAAAGCTGCAATGGTAAAGGAGTTTCCCCTTTGATTTCCAACCAGATGCACTAGTGGGCCAAACCACAAGTGACAATGGGTATGCATTTAGGGTAAACTTTTATGAATTGCAACAGTGGAATCCGGCTCAGGTTGAGACAATGGCATAGCAAGGGGGGATTAAACTCCCATACACACATTATTTACCCAATTAACCCCCCCCACACACACACACAACTGTTACTTGCCCTGATAAATGTATACGTACATGTGTACATATCTAGACCATGTTGAGCGTGACAAGAGACATACACAGAATTCTGCTCCATTTATTTCTCAGCCAGTAAAGCTGCATGTATATCTGCTTCCATTTCACAGAATCAGGGACCCAGAGCAGCTGCAGCAGAGTGCTCTGAAAAAGAGTGTTGAAAAGGCAGGGGGCCCTGAGAAGTGGAGCTGAGCCCTTAGCAGTGATAGGATCACCTTGTTAAGGGGGAGATAAAGCCCCTCTTTTGGTACCCCAAGTTTTTCTGCTTGCTTCCCTTTTTTTGGTGATTTTTCAATTGACAACTTAGCAATTGGGCCTTGGCAACCTTGTGCAAATTAGCATGCATTCAGTTCAGCTCTGTCATTCTCCACCCATGTCACCTACTCAACTTCCCAGCCCCCTTTGACAGCTGAAATGCAGAAGGAAATTTACCAAGAAAGACCACACAAGTCAGAGAGCCATAAGCATGCACTTATGAAAGACTAATGATAACTATCACACACAAACATATTTCTACAACCTTCTGAGGCAAAAAATTACCCCAAATGTACTTTTCCAAAATTCTTTTTTTTTTACTTTTTTTTTACTTTTCTTTTAATTTTTTCTTTTTTTTAAGAAAGAAAAAGTAAAAGAACAAATGAGAAGGGATGCAGACTGGAAGTGGAGGGAGGAGGGGAAGGCAAGATGAGTTCAACCCCAAAGGACATTGCAATCTGCACTAGAATTGGCTCAAGGACTGAGGGAGAAAGAAGGGAAGAACAAGCCATGATGAATTCGATCTGTACTGTGTACCATAGGTTATTCCAAGAAAAAAACCGCACTATGTAGCATTCACATGGTAACTCAGTGGATAATGCAAAGCTGCCCAGTATTCTTGGTATCAATTAGTGTCACAGACAGTGGGACGAAAGAAATTACTATTCCCTGTAATCTACATCAGACTTCTCCAAACTAGTTCCCTCCATTTCTGCTAAATTACCTTGCATTGTCCCTGCCAATTGGTCATGCTAGTAGGACTGATGTGAGTTGTAGTCCAGAACATTCAGACTGCAGCAAGCTGTGGAAGGCTGCTCTACATCCTCACAGGATCAACAGACTTGAATCGCAATCCAGAGACAAATAGTAAGGCCTTTTCATATGTTAAATGTACAAGTGTATTGGACAGGAGGGAGAAACCTGCCATTACACCTTATACACATTCATTGAAAAGGGCAATGAAAACAACTTTCATCACATGTAAATCCAGCTGAAAATGGGACTGAAAAACCTAGTTAAATGCTAAAGAATATTTGATTTCAGTGGACTTAAGACATAAGAAACATTTGCCACCTTACTCCTAAGAGCGCCAAATTGCAACGAAATGCAGAGGGCACTTAGCTTTTGTGCTTCTTAGCTGTGGCAACTCCAGTGGCTGTGCACACGGACGGACGGGAGCCCTGGGGATGTTACATTTCAGGTCTCACAGGGATGCCCAGTAACCATCAATGACTGTCAACAAGCAAACCAGTCCAACGTGTTCATTGCTATGCAGGTGACTAAAATTTTTAAATTCCCTTTAAATATTTGGCTGCATGTACAACAGGGTGAATCAGTTTTCAAATGAAGCAAATGAGGTATCCATTTATCAAGAAATTCTGCTTCGCTTAAATGCCAGGCACATTTCCTCTGAAAGGGGCAAAACTGTGCTCACCTGAACTCTTCTCCTTTACAGGTCAGCACCCCTTATTCCTCTGCACCTGCATCCATGGGGCACTCTACTGCTGTTGTCACTGTTCCCCATTTACAGCAACACCTACCGGTGAATATGTATGTAAACAAAATCCTTCTTCATCTTGTGGGGAGGGCATTTTGCAAGGGCCAGAGATGCGGTTTCCTAGCAACCATAGCACATGCTGCTTCCCCCTTCCCACAGCCTGAAATGAAGGCTGGGTCTAACCTCCTAGAAATAAGCACAGAAAGGGGAATAATGATGCAAAAAAAGAACTTCCTATAAGTATAACAGATTGGCATTTAGCTAAAATTGAGACAGCCCTCTTTATGGAGGAGCTTGGGTTAGTTAAATCTGCAATTTAAACTAACTTTGGAGAACACTACTTGAAAACAAATCAACCAAAAACAAGGACAGACAACTCTGTTTTAATTCAATTGACAGACTGATTAGACACAACAGTGAGTGTGATCACATTGAAGTTGTAGAAAAATATCAACGAGGGAGCAGTTTGCAATAGCTCATGACTAGGTGTGCTGCGATAAGCAAGTACATGGATTTGAAGACCAAAAGATCTGATGCTGAACCTGGGGCTACAACCTCCAACAGGTTTTGAGAGAAATTCTGGGATACCCTGGAGCTCTGTGGTAGTTCTCCATCCCACTTCATATCAGCCCTCGGTGTTGTTCATCACTGCTCCTCTTGCCTACAGTGCTGTCCTCTCGCTGCCCTGCTCCAGGACCTAATTCGGAGTTAGTTCTTCCACAGTGTATACATTATAGCATCCTACATGGGAAGGTCCCATATACTCTTTCCCATCAGTTCATCATTCCTGATGAATTGTCTGTTCAGCCATCTGATTCAGTAGCCACAGGGGCATTCCCATATGGTGTGACAGAAGTGTTATTTGAAGAGGCCTCAGACACATTGCCCTGGGTGTGGCAGAAGTCACAACAACTGTCCCCGGTGTGCTGTGTCATATCCTCATTAGGCTTAATAAATGGACCTGCCTCCCCAGAGTAAGCATCACTGCTCTTTTATTCCTTATGCTTCCTCAGGTGTATGGCTCTGCACTCCTACGCAGCTCACAGTCCAGATGAGCTGGAGTTGAAGAAAGGAGAAGGCATTCGTGTTTTGGGGAAACACCATGAAGGCTGGCTAAAAGGAGTGTCACTGGTCACAGGAAAAGTCGGGATCTTCCCAAGCCATTACGTCACTCCATTTTTCAGGTTTGACTGACGACTTCTTTTCTATACAGCGAGACAGCTCTATCTCTAGCTAACCCCCCAAAAGTAGGATGGGGGTTTCTCCACAGGCGAAGCTGCACTCCAGTGGGTATGAAGTATGGATGGATAATGTGTGGTTGTGGGAAATGTGTGGATAATAGTTGGACTGCAGAGCTGCCCACATATATCTTAGAAACTTTAAAGTGCCTGACCTCATTATAGGATCACATGCTTGGTCTTCTTCCTTTTTCTGGGAGAGGAAAAATGATCACATATTATGACTTCCTCACAATCATGCTGTGCACTTCATCTTTTCCATGGCCTGATACAGGGGTAGAACAGAGCTCCAAAAGAGAATGGTGCCTAGAATAAATATGAAGAGATAGGGAACATCAGAGTACAAGTGTACAGAACTCAAATGAAGTGTGGAGTTACACAGCAGTCACACAGTAGATGGTCCATATAGCCAGAGTACCCTACAAAACACTAAAGCCAGGTCTCTGTGTTGTCCTGGGCTGAATTCCTATTTCTTCTGTTTCCAGTGAATAGCCTCATCAGTTAGTACCGAGCAAAAATTCTGAGTAACTGGGTCAACTCCATTAATGATTACTCTTTTTAAAAACTTTTATTGTATTTGTAATCTGTCCAATAACAGATCTTCTCTGGCTGGATTACAGAAGCTAAACCCTAAAATCATAAAAGCTAGAAGAATAGCATGCAAAACTAAACAACAAACAGCACAGGAATGAGTATAAATACATAAAGATAGCCATAAGATCTAGAAAATTAAGCTCTAAAATAACTGGGAAGAAGAGAAGTCTTTGCCTGGCATTTAAGAGATATCACAGCATGGGTTCACACAACATGAACTTCCACAATGAGAAGTTCAGCCAGGAACGGGGTGAATGTTCAAATACGCTTTATGTGGCCCCCACTCTATATTCAGTAGAAAGGGTGCCCAACCCTCACACCTGACAGTCTACTTAGTTAGAGTTGTCTGATTCTGAGGAGGAGCTGGAAGAGGAGAGAGGAGCTGGGCAGGTTGACAGTCTCAAGGTTACCTAGTAAAGGTTCTCGGTCAGAGCATGAGAACCAGCCCATCTCAGGAGACATTTCAGAACTGAGGGAGGGGCTGAGAGGGAATTCCTTGACCCTGTCAGGAGACAGTAAGCAAAATAAATGGACCAATTAAGAACTGCCCAGTGTTCCTGCCATCTTGCGCACAAGAAACAGGAGCTACCCTGAGGGTGGAGTCAGAAACTTTCCTGAAAGGGAAGGAGAGAGGGGAAGTTTCAGTTTGGATTCAACTCTTTGCATGGACAGATGCTTCTCCCACATCTCAAAGAGTATGCTACTTTGATTTATACTGACACCTGTTAAACTTTAATAAAGGACTGTGCTTCTAAAGTCTTGTCTGCGTCAGCCAGAGCAGGAAACGGGGAGGGAGAGACCTGCTCACATTTTCTATATACTTTGCAGGTGATCACATAACCTCTAAATGTCTTAACACTCAAGAGTCTTGTGGCACTTCGAAGACTATCCAATTTATTATATGCTTTTGATCAGTTGCATAAAGCGTCATCCTATGCTGAAGATCGATAGATACATGCTTCCAGGGGTGGTCAAACAGAAATCAAATGCAGAAAGTACAGATTGCAACATTTATACTCACCTCAGTCTGAAAGATGAAATAGCAGTTATTGGTAGTATTAGTACCATTAGTAGCAACCTGAGGAATTACAGAAATGGCTGCATGGGCTATGCTAGCAGAAGCTTTTCCTCACATTTGAATCTGAACATTTAGGAATGTAGAATATGCATTGGTTGGGTTCACATGTCACAACAAGTAACCCTCGTGGTTACCACAATAAATGGTTTCCTACCTTGATCTGCCTGACAAATGATCAGGTTCCTGGGGGTGATTCTCCTCCTTTCTGCCATCTCCTTCCCCCTCAGTCCTCCAGGCGGTATCCCAGGAGACCCTGTGGGGCGGAGCGAAACTCCTCTTTTTGACAGCCGCAATCGCAAGGCAGTTTTGGCTCACTGCAGCCATGAAGCAGTCTGTGCTCTGCAAACAGTGCTCAGGCCCTGAAGCGCAGCAGCGAGGACCACTGAATTGGAAGCGGGGGTACCTGATCCTTGCTAAAGCTGAAGGGGGCAAAATCAGCTGGGTGGAGCCCTGGAAAGGAGCAGCACCATTCAGCTGATTCGTCTCCTGACCCTCCCATGCATCTGCTGCATGTAAAGAGGAGGGGTGAGAATCAGCTGGGTGGCAGTGCCCAGCCGTGCTGCTCAGCTGATTCCCCCGCTCACCCTCTTTTCTTGCTCCTGCGTGCGAGAGAGGCCTCCACAGCCCACCCGAGTGCTTGTCTTGCCTGTGCTAGCACCTGTTTCTCAGCCCTGCTTGCTGGAGAGGCATTCCCAGCCTGGCAAGTGGAGTGAGAAAGCGGGCTGTGGGGAATCACCTATGCAGCACAGCCCCCAGTTGGGCGCCGCCACTCAGCTAATTACCAGGCGTCCCTCAAATACACGTGGGGCTCAGCAGCAGCAGCAGCTGAGCGCTATTGCCCCTTTCTGCAGCGCCAACCAGCTGACCGCCCATTCCTGCCCCAGAGAAGATCTTTAGGGCAGGAGATGGGCAGGAAGGGGCTCCTCTGACAGTCGTGCAAACCAGCAGTGATCAGTGATTCTCTCCGACTAGCTGCTTGGCAAGAGCAGCAGCGAGTGAGCCACTCTTGCCATACAGCTCCCTGGTTCTCATCTTCGTTCCATGACAAGCTCTGTTTTCTGGGTTTGAGTGATAGAACAAGCCATTCTGGCACTGAGAAGCCATGGAACAGACCTTTGTTTCTGATCACACTTTCTAAAGACCAAACATGCCACAAAGAAATGCCACGACAGGGTTTGGAGGACACAACTGACCAACAATACTAAATAACAACTGTGGTTTGTTCTATCATGTGAATCCTCCCATTTTCCAGGACTGGCACTTAAGGCATCTTGGAGATTTCACATAAATAATTAGGAAGCTAAAGATCTGTGATTGTGTTCATGCCAATGAAGCCCCCTTATATATTGAGTATGAATAGTCTGTACTCTCTGACTGAAGCTTCAACAGATAGTGAGCAAAAGTCCTAAAAACAGTCAAAAAAGAACAAATGGTAAGGAGTCAAGTCAGTGGTGTCAGTCCTGCCGCTCGCACTGCAGGCCCTTTGGTGCCTCCGTGCAAGGCTACCATCACCCAATAAAGGTGACCTGCCATGGATTTAGATTGAGCAAAAGGAAATATTATTTCACATATATTGTTAATGTGCAATGGAATTCACAGCCCCAGGATGTGGAGATGGACAGTGACTGGCATAGCTTTAAAACAGGGCTAAATGGATTAATGGAAGATGACTGTTTGCTCCTTATAGGTGTAGTCAGCAGCGTTTTTCAGAGGTTTGCAGTCCCTGGTACCAAGGGGGATGGGAAGGGGGACCAACTAGAGCAAAAATACAGTGGAAGAGGGGGGAAAACATTGCAAGCTGAAAGAAACAGAGAAATCACTTGTTTATATCTAAATGTTGCCTACTCTGTACACCTTGAGAGGAACAAGTTACATTAATCTAATGCTGCTTATTAGCACTTTCATGTTCAGAGGTAGTTGACATCTGGATACAAGATCAAGGGACTCACACAATAGAATAGGGGTCTCTAATCTGGCACCGTGGTGCCTGCAAAAGGGTACCCTAGGTGGGGCCCATATTTTTTTCACTTTTTAAATACATGGACTCAGATTTGTATGAAATACATACAGCTTTCTTGTAAGTATAAATAGGCTTCAAGAAAAGCTGACCTCAAGTCAAAAATCCTGGAAGCTCTAGTCCAAAAGAATGCTCTGAGCATCATGGTAAGTCATACTTGTTTTTAAAATATCAGTCAATCATCATCTTCAAATAAACATCCAACACAATTAGAAATTATGACAGAGAATCATCATTAACTATGGTGATATCATGAGTCAGACGAGAGGAAAACACTAGAAATGTTTTTCTATGTAATTTGTTCCCAGAAAGAAATTGCAGTAAATAGTAACTGAGGAATATTATCAGTTTCAGCATGCTGAACTTCTGAAAAATTAACTATGGATTACTGTAGCTTCTAATGGGTTAGGCATGAATGGACATACTAATTATGGCTAGAGTCCTGGGCAAGGATGAATAGTTGAAGGTTTGTGGGGAGAACTTCTCAGCTCATCTTGCTCTACTTCGCTGTGAAATTACAACAAAATAGTACAACATTCTCTCTTTCTCGTGGCTATAGCAGACTCTTGCCTGCAACCTCTCTAGAAGGCTTGAGAGATGTAGTAAAAGCTGAGTTGTTGAACCAGATCCAAGGAAAAAAGAGATGGCATGTAGAGGAGACCTAATAATGGAGCCTGGGAAGTCAGAGAATAAATCCTTTATTTTCAATGGAGAAATCTATATACTTCTAAAATAGTGTTGTAAAGAAAGCTGTGACTTTCTGAGTCCTGCCACCAAGGACTAAAAACCTCCTCCTGCTCTGAATCATTCAACCAGTCTCAACCAATCCTTGAAAGGTTTCCTTTTAAAATAAACCAAGTTCTGCCTCTGATCACCATAGACAGACATATTAAGTATACAGTGTTTACCTAGTTTGAGAATCGGAATTTTGACTCTGTGGCCGAAAATACAGTCATTTATACTGCAGCAAAGTCATACAAGTTTTTTTCCAGGTACTGGTGGGAAAGTGGGCATAGATGGTACAATGCATTTGTGCTTGCATCTGCTTCTATGTTCCCCTCATCTTCCTCCTAGAAGCTGAAACTGTTAGTAGGGAACAATGGGTGAAAATGTTGCTGTTATCATATTTCAATGCCACTGTACCGTATTTGTACTTCCTGGTCTTAAGCATGAATTGGAAGGCTGTGTGCTATCAAAATCCATATACTACTGATGTTTGCAATAGTGCTGTCCAAAATAAATATTCACAAAAAATGTGAAATGTACATTTCTAAAAATGTAGAAAAAATACACACATGAACACAAAACCTGCTTTATTATTTGGACAGAAGCACACATAAAATGTGCATATGTTTTTAAAATGTATGCCAACATTCAGACACATTTTCATGCAGATATGGGAACAATCAAAATCCCTTGTGAAAACAAGATAGAATGAACTTAGAGGTGAAAAGAAGGGCAGCAAAGCCAACCAAAATTGAGCTTGACACATTCATCCTTTCCTATCTGAATAGCATTAGGGTTGGCCTTTCCAGTCCCTGCAACAAAGCCTGTGCTGAGCTCAGGGTCACTTGTTAGCCTGAAGAAGCTTCAAACCAGCTAGGCAGAAAAGAGTCACCCCGGAACAGCTTGGAGGTGGAGTCTCTCCCTTCCCAGAAGGTCATGGTTTTCTCTCTAATGCCTGCTTTTGAATGGAACTGGAATGAGTGTTGTATGTGACCATTATCTTTTCTTAGCTCTGTGGGGTTTATTTGCTCTTTCTGTTATTACTGAACTGTTCAAATGAGTCCCATGCCGCTGATTTATTTACTTACGCAATTTACAAGTTGCCCTATCACCAAAGCTCTCGGGTGAGAGCTCTCAATAATCCACATAACAAAAACAAATCCAATAAAATCTATCCCATTGATTAAGGTGGATTCCTTCTCCCCCGCCCATCCACCCACACACACACACACACACAAACCAGGCTGTAGCTCTGTCTATAGCCCTGAGGTATAGCCTGAAGTGCCTGATCCTGCCTAACCTTGGAGGCTAAGCAGGGCTGGCCTGCGTTGATACCTGGAGGGATGATTTGAGTCCTGCATTGAGCAGGTAGTTGGACCTGATGGCCTGCTAGGCCCTTTCCAATGGTATGACTCTATGATTCCGTATCCTATGGCCACCAGAATAGCCTCCCAGGGACATAGAATTACTCTCTCTGGGTGCAATCCTTCTGCAATAATCATAGACCCCAAACTGAGAGGCTTATATTCATCCTATGCAGGGGAGGAGAAGCAGCAAAAGCAATTGTTACCTACCTGTCCTCTCTTCCTCCCTTCCTCCCTTCCTCCCTTTGATTGGTAGCCCATCCCATTAGCCACATGGCTCCCTAAGTGGATTACAGGCATAAAGCCTATGCCTGTTTGTTTAGATGGGCTTTTTTGCCCATCTAGTGACAGCACAGGAAGGGAAGGAGATGGATAACTCATATACTGGTCTCTCCAGTCTCCCTCCCTTGCTGCCCACTGGAACAGCCCCCTTTGCCCCTCCCTGAGGTTGCTTTCCTGACCTTGCAAAGCAGCTGGCTTGGTTCTCCCTGCACTGGCTGTGAGGGATAGGCAGGCAGAGCTCCAGTTCCCAGCTCTGAAATTGCTATCTCTCAACTTGTATCTAGGAATATCTTATCCCCCACCCCACCCCCTTTGCCACCTAGGGGCCATAGGATTGTTTCCCACGAAAATGTAAGAGCAGCATCAATAATTTAAAAATAGTTTTATACAGCAAAATAAGTATCAAAGCAGTTAGTGCATGGGAAAGTATTATTTTAAAACACACAGCTCTCCATATATATTTTTCCCTCAGAGTCCAGGTGTAAGGAAACAAATGCAAAGTTGCCCATTTGTGAACATTCTGAGGTTTTGCAAAAACCCATTGGAAAGAAAACATGACATGGCGCTAAAGAGAAGGAAAAGGCTAGTTCAGTCTTTTGTGCCAAACAGAATGCACAATGGCAGAGCAGGGAAAGAAAGGGAAGGCACTCTTGCCCAGTGTGTCTCCATCACACATTAATACTTAGTTTGGATTAGGGATCGATTATAATTTTGTTATAAATTTACCTAGGTTTGCACAGTTCTTCATATTCAGGATCTGCAATAATAACCTGCAATCTTAATAAATTCAAATGTGGGAGTTGAATTTTAAAACATTTCAAAAAAAATGAATTGGATCATTTTCTCCTTGTAAACTGAGTTACTTTAAGAGGATAATGTGTCCTTTAAAAAGGCTGTACCTTGGGAATGGTGAAATTGATTGCCATCATCTCAACCATAGGCATAAAGTGTGGACAACCCTCAGATATTTGTAATCCCTGATAATATGAACTGCAAGAAACCCGAATCAAAAATGGCAGGTTTTAGTTTGTTGTCAGAGATGTGGGATGCTTGAGCAGAAACCCAACTATCCATGTTATTGCTTTTCACTGAAGACACACTTGTATTCATTTGTTCCCTTGCTTATATTTTATCATGTTCAATTGCAGTGTTTAAATTGGAGACATCACTGCTGCTTTGGGCCCAGAATTATTCTTTCTGATTTCCACTAAAACTCTCATATTAAGGAGAGCCAGTGATTATTCTTCATCTCTCTGGCTCATTTCTTCATGATTTGGCTTCTGATAACACCATGGCCCCACCTCACCGATAAACTGAACAAACAATCAGACACATTGCCAGGAGCTTCATAAAGTCCCTCAGTCAGGAGCACCAATTTTAAGCATTGCTAGTGTGCGTCTTCCTTTGGAAATCACCTCATAATAAATGGATGCCTTGGTTATTTTGATGAATCACTGCCCCATTATTAAATCATAAATCATTTTTCAAAGCAGAGAAGAGTCACAGGAAGATAGCAAAAGAGTCAGAGGCTGCCGCTTCCCCCACCTCCAGAGGAGGAGCTGGCACAGATGCTTCTCCATGGCTCAAGTTCCAAGAAAATTAGGAGCCCTTACGCAGGTTGTGTAAGCACCCTGTTCATGCAGAAGAGGGATGGCCTTCTCAGCGATTTAACCGATTTAGGTGAAACAGCTTTGTGGCCTCATCAGCCTCACAGATGAGGAAAGAAATAATCAGAAGTGACACTTGGGGTGTGGGGGGGGGGGACCAGCTGAAACGGGAAATGCAACGAAGAGCACAAGAACTCCCGTGAACGCTTCCTTCAGGATCGCTGCTTCCTCAGTGTCCGATGAAGAACTTTGTTCGCATTTAAGAGCTTCATCGGCTGCTCTGGCAACTCAGGAGGATTAGCCGGCATTACTCATTGTTTTTGTCCATCGGGCAGCATATATGGGGGTGGAGGGATCCCCTGCCCTAAAATTTTAACAATAGAAAGAGCAGCCATGTAAAAAATGAAGCGAGATTAATTTACCAAACCTTATTGCTCCTGAGTGGCACGCTCTTCCTTGAAAACTGTACAGTTTTATTACAGTTTAAATCCATCCTACATGAGCTCACATCCGCAGCAAGGTGGACATGGCTACCCTATTGAACTCCTATTACAAACTTTATTATATATGACTATATGCTGATCAATTTGCAAGTGATGGGGCTCCCCTAGGAGGTCAGCTGATCCTTCATGATAGTTAGGCCAACATCTCACAAGAATCTTGGGGCATAATTTGGGGCTGACCAGCCAGATTACCTGGCTGAGCAAGGGACGGAGTGGCCAGCAGAGCGGGGGGGGGGGGGGGAAAAAGCCCCCCCCCCCCCCCCCCCCCCCCCCGGGGCAGCAAGATTCCCTGGGCCAAGCCTGGGATGACCGATATCAAAGCAAGCACCCCTATCAAGGGTGCCCACGTGTTTTCCCGCTTAAATAATGCCTCCCGCAGATACCTCTTCACCTTCCATTCCTCGGCCTTCTTTGTGTAGGCCCTGGAGGTGACTGAGGGTCACACAGTTAATTGCGTTTCCCAGGCACAGCAAGACCAAGAAAACCTGGGACCGCTCTCTCAGCCACCACAAGGCTTTGTTTTCCTGATGGCAAGGGCCACATTTCAGGTCCATTTTTTAGGTACTTCCCTGATGCATTATATTATCTAAGATATGGAATAAATCCTGCAGCTGCTCTCTTGTTTGCCTCTCCATACAAGCTAGAAAAGATGAAATTAGCTCAGGATGTGTTTGCACATACTTATTACTTTCACTCCATTTCTCCCTCCCTGGACTTTTATTTTCAAGTTATTTACTTTGCTTCTGATTCATTTGTACATAAAAATGACTGTCTACTTTATTTACTCCCTTCCTCGGTTCCTTTTATCTAGCATTTCTCGCTCTCAGACAAATACTGCCAACTTCAGAAAATGCCTATGGGAAGGACAGGGCCCACTGCCACCTGCCCCCAAACCGCCCCCCCCCCCCGCCAGCAAGATGGATGGTCCTGTGGCTATGTTCCTTTTGTTAGTATGTATACACCATTGGAAAGAGGATGCAGGTGTTCACAAATGGGCTACTGGAAGCAGACTTCCTCATCCCTTCTTCCCCATGGCAGCCTACCAAAACTACCACACAAAGGGTCGGGGTAAGGGGGCCAAATAAAAGAAACATTGCAGCTGGCTTGAAGAATCAGCAAGGAGAAGCTTACTAGTGCTGGGCAGCATGACATTCACAGTACCAGCCAGTGAAAATCACCCCTTGAAACCTGGGGATGTATCCCTGATATTAAAGCTGTTGAAAGCCATGCAAGTGCTGGAAGCTTTTCCCCTGTTCACTGAATTTGCTAAGCCTACAGAAACATTTGTCCTCTTGGTTCGCACCGGAGCTGTAAGTCATTGTGAGGGACATGCTTGAACTCTAACACTGTGATTTGCAATGCAAATCTCCATTTGTTCTGTGCAGTTTCTCATAACAGACCCGTATTGCATGGCTTATATAGAATATGAAATGAGGACATGGGTATTTCTTTTTGTGGGAGGAGGGAATATCGTCTCTAGGAGGAATAGTACTGTCGTATGATTCTTGCACAGCAGTTTTAAAGAGAATGCTGGAGTTTGATCAGGAATGTGGAAAAACTGAAATGCAAGATTAAAGAGAAATAGCGGGAAAATGCATTTCAGAACATATGGATGCTTGACGATCTGATTCCACACTTTGCTTGCTTTTTTCTAATTAGACAACAAAACTCCTGGATCTGAATTGTGCAGCTGCATTGTGCTCTCTAATGATCTGAAATTAGCTTCTCTTTCTCTCTCCCTCCCGTTTGGCTCTCCTAAACAAGCAGGAAGTCCTCAAGCTTTCTTGACTCCAGAATGCCTTCCCTCTATGCGACTTGGACATTATCCACTTCCTCACTTTCATCCCAGGGAAGCATCTCAGAGAACGGCCCGAGGCAAAGCAGGCCTTTGAAATCTACCTTCATGCCCACATCTTTGGCCTCACCTGTGAGGAATCTCCCTGGGTCAAGTGCCTCTGGGCACACAGCCTCGCAGAGGAGAGGACGTGGCAGCAATAGGAAGAGTAAGTCCTGGTGGGAGGGGTGTGAGCCTGTCCCTGAGTGGCAGAGAGATGACTGGAAGCCCTTAATTAGCACGCTGAAACTCAGGCTTGATGCAGTAAACATAAATGCCATGCTAACCCACCTGAAGAGCTGCGAACCTAATTGCACACGTACAGCTGCACTGGACGTTTTCCTTGCCAAAGGCGTGGATGGACCAGATACAGCCTGAGTCAGTCCAGAAACGCGTGGCAGGATCCATCGTTCAGATGCTATCTGGAGATGAATTGTGCCTTGAGGAATCCAAGTTTAACTTGTAAATCTTTAACATGGAATGAAACCGAGGTTGTTTCTCAGAGAATGAAAAGAAAAGAGGATGCTTTGGCAGCAGGTTTGCTTTCATGTAGTTATTTGGGTTCACTGAGGTCTCAGCAGAGCCATATTCATTCTGGAGAGAGATTCCAAATATTAATCTTTGTGTAGGAACATGTTGGCATGGAGCAAAGTGATGGCACACAAATGCACTTAGAGGACAATAGAGACTCATGTTCTCCGTGTAGAATTGTTATTGTAAGGGGTGCTTTACAGGGTAGGAGAACTTTGCATTCATCTCAGAATAAGTGGAAAATTTGACTGAATGGGACCCATTTGGATCTGTTTTTATTCATTCTGAAAAATAGATGCACAAAGGTGTGAATGGGAACCAACTGGACTCCCATTCAGAACTTCCTCTGTAAGACTGACATCAAGAGTAGGTATGGTTGGCACACGCCAAAGACCCGCAGCCCCAGCAGAAGCCGGCTAAGCAGAGTTCCCTGGGTATAGTCCTCTTCACCACTGAATCCTGCTCTGGCCATTTGTCCTGTTTGTGGGGCTGCAGCCTCTCCCCCCCCCCCCCGGGGGTGGTCACAACAGGAGCTGAGCCCAGTGGCATTCTGGGGGAGAATCGAAGCTGCCATTGGTCAGGGCAACCCCTTTTCTGCACAGTGACTCAGTATGAGTCCATAATATGGCAGCCACCAGGACTGGCTTCCGAGGTCAGATCTGTTGCAGTCACTGCAGGCAGCAACAAAAACTGATTCGAAAAAATCAAAATGCCAAAAATAGTCATGAGTAACAAAATAAATGTGATACCTACTAATGGATAATGAAATGAATGGAATGCCTATGAATAGATAGTGCACTAGATGGTGTCTTTAACAGCAGAAACAGTGCTGTTAAAGCTCCTTTCAGTTGCAGATGGCAGGGAATGACTAGCCCGGAACAGCCTTCCCTGACCAGGCACCCTCCAGATGTGTTTTCTACAAACCCTGTTGTCCCCAGAATGCAGTGGGCAAGTTGGGTGAGTACGCTGGGAGTTGCAGTCTAGCACCTCTGGAGGACACTGGATGGGGCAAGCCTGGCCCAGAGCTTTCTGCATGCCAGTCGTGTGCAGCACTGCTGTGTCGTGGCCCCTTTGCTGGACCTTGAAATGCTGAAAGTGCAGCCCTAATAAACAGCCAAGACTGAAATACAGCCCAGGACGGTAGCTGTGCAGTTTTCTCCCATCCTTTTTGAAATATGAATTTCCACAGTGAACTGAAGCGCTTAACCCTCCTTTCTTCCCAAATTGTGTGTCCCCAGATGGATCATTACAGAAACCTTTGCAACCAGGAACTCTTATTCCATTCGTCAGCTCCCTTCGGCGGAGTCCTGCCACTCAACGCCGACCCCAGCAATCTCCCGTCTATCAGCCCATCTCCACTCTGCCCAGAGGAGTCAGTACAGCTGACACAGGAGCCTGGCTGAATGCCTCCCAGGATTCCTCATTAGTGCTAGTGCCCCGAAGTGGAAGCAGCAGAGCACCTTCTGTGTGTAGTTCGGTCGTGCTGGACACCAAAGAATTGCTGCCGAAAAGCGAGTTGAGTCTAAAGCCACCTGTTTCTGCTCCACCCTCCATTCTGGTGAAACCCGACACCTCGAGGAACACTATGGAGAAGGTAAGCGGGGGGGGGGTCTCGTCAAAGTACAGGGCTCGTTTTATATGGCCATTGTTACAGTTACGGAACTCCTTGAAAATGTTGCTGGAACTGTAGGATAGTTGGGCAGCTGGCGGAAGGTGTTTACTAGGGAACTTGAAGTTATAGTGAAAGTTCTTGGATTTTTGTCAGCAGAACAATACATTTTTGTCTGTATAAGATGCTCCTATAATGGACTGAGCAGAAATGTGTGCTCCTTTGCAAATAGCTTCTGCGAACACCATTTTGAAGGTACAACCGGAATGCAGATTCTCCTTGCTTCCCTTTCTTCTGTGTGACAATCTGCTGCTCCCCAGGGTTTTGTAGATAATGCTTTATATGAGGGAAGAGCAGGCTAGGTTGCCCCCCAGTACATGGTTTGGGAAATTCCAAAAGGGAGTTGAGTTTGTTTGGTGAGCATAGAAGAAAGACAGCGCTTCCGGCAACCTTCCATGAATAAAATAAATTCTGATATCTGTTCTATTTCAGCAAGTGAAAACAGTGAGATTTCAGAACTACAGCCCACCACCATCCAAACGACAGAGTTCTCTGTCTTCACCAAACCTCTCCAATGGCAGACCTGAACAAGGAAGCATTATAGAAGCAGTGCAGCCAGAAGCAAACAAGAGTCCTGAAATATCAGTGCTCTATTCCCACCGAATTGTCTCCAGTCCAGTTCATCAAAGAAGGGTGGCACATCCTAAAACCTCATCACTGGACCTTACAGGCCAGTCAGGCTACCTGACCTTTCCGACAAGAAGAGAATTATAATAGCATCACTGAAAACTGAACAGCTTGACTCTATTTAAAAACACTTCACTTTGAAACTTTGCTATCATTGTTTGTTTGTAAGCAAAACAACCAGATATACCATAGATCTCAGGTCTAATTTGCCGACATCTTTTAAAAATTTCATATCTGATAGAAGAGCTAGGCCTTCTTCCAGGCATCTACACAACCACAAATGATTACTGGGTACCAATCATTCCACACTGTATGGCAGGGTCTTGTTTTGTGTGGCTTTGATCTACAGCTCAAACTGCAAGTGTGTTGTGGACATGCATTTTTCTTTATATGCAAAGACTACCACAGTGGCAATGTAAAATGAATTCTTTTGCCACGGGGAGATACAAATATCATTGGGAGGGTAAGAAATTATGAGTACAGAGCACTATTCAAAAGCCATATTGCTCCCCGTAAATTTCAATACTCTATAATTGGAAGTGGGAAAAGGAAACCTGTCAGAAAAAGATAGACTGCTTTGGTCTTCTCTGTCTCACTCAATTTTATAGTTGGTAAAACAGCAGCTTTCTTTCCTTCCCCTGCCCTTCTCTTTATAATTTGTTTAACTTCACAGTTTGCATTTAAATACTTTGGACTTTATATTTGGATTCAGAATGCAGAAGGTTCTTTGGTTTTGTTTTTTAGAAATATAGACCATTTCCCAGCTTCCAAGACAGTCAGTCAGTGAAAGGAGATCAAGCAACACAACTCATCCATCAGCCCTCCTCTACCATGTATTCTGGATCCTGTTTCTAGGGATCAACTGACTGATCTAATTATAGCAGACAATAGTACCATGCATCTATAAGCCCTGTGATTCCAGAACTGTGTAATCCCATGACATTAAAAAAGAAAAGAAAAAGAAATCACAATTATTTTTAAGATATGAGAAGCTGTTAAGATTGTCAGCCTGTTTGGACAAAGGCATGGTTCAAGAGTGGTGTGATCCTGCATTATCACTTACTTGGGAGCAGGTCTCCTTGAACCAAATGGGACTTCTGAGAAAATGCAAATAAGACTAGGCTGCAAGAAGAGTCGTAACTTGGAAGAGGAGGCCCCCCATGATGCTCCTGCCTGGATCCTCCTCCTCTCTAATCACCCTCCTCAACCTCCAGGCACAGCCAGCAGCACGGTGGCCCAGAGGGATCGGTCAGTCCCACCCTGTGGAAGGCCTTGCCTTTCCCCGTCCTGCCTGCCTGTCTCTGGCAGACCGCATCCACGCAATACCCGCTTGCGCCCAACCCCTCTCATCCTCTCTGGCTACCTGGCTGCAACAAGAAGCAGAATCAGACTGCCATATCATTTTAATCCAGCTGTGCCTGATGTTCAGACTTCTGCTATAGGATAGAGCTTTGTTTATTTTGTTCCCACTGCTAGTTCAAAGGTTGTGCATTCCAGCCCACATAAGGGAGCATGAAATTCTGTAGGCCTCCTGCTATGTCATGTCAATAAAGGTTGGGAGTTAAAATTCTTGGATGATTGCACAGGACCAATGAAACTGATAGAATGGATGTTTGCTAGTGGTGTGCACACAGCTTCTGGACTGCACTGGAGCCAAAGATTTCCTTTGGAATCAAGAAGAAGTGGACAGACAAGTTATCCAAGCTGGGGCCTTCCAGATGCATTAGGCTACAACCCCCATTACCCTTAGCCAGCAAGCTGGTTGGAGTGATGGGAGTTGTAGTCCAACAAATCTAGAGTGTTCTGCCTTGGGAAAGGCTAAATAATTGTCTTACACCAACCACCTTTCCCTTTTAATTTGTGGCAAAAGTAATTATCAGTCACTTTCTCAGATTAAACACAACTCTTTGGCCCCAGATAAATGCCCGTATCATATATAAAGCCAGTTTTCCCTGGCCTTTGTAGGAGTGTACTCTCTTATTTCCTCATGTCAGCTTTGCAAGAGTCAAGAATTCTGAAAGGTTCTCCAGCACACACAAAGGAGATGTGAATTTACAATGTATAGAACACACATCAGACGTAGATAAAAATAATATATTAGATTGTTAATGCCTATTAACTGACATTCATTTCCCACAGGACTTTCATTTGCAGGTGTTTGGGGGGGGGGGGGCTGGGAGCCTGCAGTGTACACACAGAATGTGAAAAAACACACCAGTGTCTCTTTTGCTGTGTGAAGACACCAAGGGTGCCTTACAAGAGACTAAATGTTAGGAACAAAAAGCAGGGAAGTAATTAGTATGTTTAGTGTTGACTCGAGACATCTTGCTGCCAGGAAGGAGCCCACAGCAGGCTGTCTTGTACGAAGGCCAACACTCTAAAATTCTTGCTGCACTATTCAAACACCAGTGCCTGCCTTTAGCTGCCTCTCCACCACCTGCCATCACACCACCTGAAGCAGGTAGCTTTGCCCTGCTGCATGCAAGGGCCGGGCCTTTTCCCAAGAACCTTGTGCTGATGGAGTGGGATCAAGCTGCTCTGCCTTCAGAATCTTGGTAGGATGGTGCCTGGTATCCCATGAGCGCCATGTCCGCACCCAGTCCTCCCTGGCCCAGGCCCCTGCATTCTGCCCGCTCCAATGAGGACCGAAGCAGAGGAGCCACTGGAGATCTGTGGTCAAGCCCCCCCCCATCCCTTGGGGGCCCCGGGAGACAAAAGATGGCACAGAAGTAAACAATAACATAAGTTAAAGGAGAAACCACTGGAACAAAATCAATTGGGACTACAGTGCTGGCAAGACCATGTACCCCCGTTCCCTGTGCCATTTGCTTGCTATCAATCCACAGCATGACAATTTGTGGTACCCCTCCCATCACCATGATCCTGGTTCACTTGGCGCCCCCCCCCCCACCGCCCTTTTTGTGCATGATGGTGTATGCAAATCTTTACATATTTCTTTCAAAAGAAGGTGCTGTATATGTGCAGACCTCCTAATCGTCAGTCACCTTGAACTTAAGAAGCACACAGGAGAATGCAAACAGGAAACTGATGAATATGACAGCTTTCCTGCCAGAGCAAATAGCAGGTTTGGTTGCTGGAATGATCTGAACTGGGACCACAGTGGGAGGCCAAAAGTCCCCATATTCCTTACACACCCGTCCAGATCACCCTCTTGCTATTTAGTCTTTTAAAATGCATGCAATTAACAGAATTGCTAATTGTACACAGGGTGTGACATCTAGTTTCACCCAGTGAAGAATGAATGTTTTGGAAGAGAAATATATATCCAGCAATTCTCTTTTTAAACATAATGAATAAAAAGGCTTTCCTGCTTCAAGTAGTGCGGCAAGACAAGAATAATCAGTTTTCCTTCAGGGCCCACAATACCATCTAATCACACCATTGAAACCAAACCTCGGGTTGCGGGAAGCGTTCGGGGTGCTTGCCTATTTTTACCTTAGTCATACAAACGTGCATATGCACATTCATGAGGCTCACTTAAGCCAAAAATATCCGTTGCTCAGGAACAAAAATATGCAGATGGAGTCACTGGCAACTGCTCTGTTCACTGAAAATAGTGGTGGGCAGATGCCAGCTGGGAAAATACACAAAAAAAGGAAAAGTGGAGCTGGAATGTTATTTATTTCCTTGCCTTTGGAAGAATAGCCCCTTCACCCTGCTTTCATTCATTTGCATTAACATGCTTGTTTTGAAAGCCAGCACTGACTGACTTGAGGATGATGGGGTTTGCGGAAGCAGAGGGGCACTTTTGCTGCATGGCTGGAGCCCATGGGCCAAAGATCTGACAGCCCTAATGCAAAACCATGACAACCTCATGATTGCTTGCCTTACGCAGCAGGAGCATTGGCACAGGGAAGGCTTTCGCTTGCTAGATGCTCCTGTAATTATTTGCCAAGAGGAGTTATTTGGAAACAAAGAAAAACCTCTCCAGTCCAACCCAAGCAGCTGCTCAGTGCTGGTGCCCTGGCAGATAGGAAAACAAAGCCCACTGCCTTCCTGAACCACGCATTCCCCCGAGGGCAGAATAAATTAACTTAAAGGGTGAAGGAGCTATCTAGAATTACTGGTTGTCTATTATTTGCTGTTCTCATGGCATCTTTCATTTGCACGGTGCTTGAAACGCCTTATCTCTCCTCCACAGCCTGTGAAAGAGGACGGAATTGTTCCCATTTTATGGAAGAAGTGAGGCTGAGAGTGCCTTATCCGGAGGGAATCTGTCTTCCAGCTGAGGCAGAGCTGGTCTCCTAGCCCCCAAATCTAGTTCTAGGAAATGCAGTCCACGGAGCCCTAAGTTGCTGAAATCCACAGTAGGATGACATGCTTAAAACAGGATTGTGGTGATTTAGATGTTGGAAGGGATCCTTTCCATGAGAGCTCAAGCCTCCCAGCCCTTCCCCTGAGGCTACTTCCCGGATTATTTTGTTCCATGTTCCTCCAGGACTGTGGCATGCAAATCAGCTCTTTTTCTATAAAATAGCCAAGGGAGCTCATACAAAAGAGACAACAGAACCCAGTATGAATAAACTGAATCTGCTTCATGGCAGTCTGTGAGCATCCCGCAGTTTCTGGACCTGAAAAGGCCGGTGCATTTGGCCAAACTGCAGGCTGTTCAGCATTCTGGTATAACTCGTGACCATCAAGGTGAGCTAATGGATTAATATTTCTGCCCTTTCGACATTTCAGTGCATAGCTGTGTTGGCAAGGATTATAGCCTCACGTACTGAACATGAGGAAGGTGCAGGGACGTCCCTGTTGGTCCAGGTTATATAGTCACAAACTGGAAGAGGGTGAGCCCCTTACCTTGGGGGACACAGCACCAGGTTTGCTGGCCAGTTTGGAAGAAAACCTGACTCAGCGACCTTTTGCCCCTTTAACAGAGGTTCGATATGCTGACAACAGCTGGTGGCACCTTTAAGGTGATCTAATTGCTCACCAGTTGCTGCAGATCTAGACAGTAACAGGGTCTGACTCCAAAGTCGGCTGTCCTGCAGCTTTCCTGCCACCACTGCCTTTAGATGCCTGAGGAGGAAGTGGTGTTGTTGTTTTCTTTAAGCATGAGCAGTGGGGAAGCAGCCCTTTAGATCAGTAACTCAAAGCGGATCCCAAGTAAAGTGAGGCTGGAGATGGATTCTGGTGCTGCAAACAGCTGAAGGGGTTTTTTTTATATAAAATGCAGGGGTGCATGACCACAAGAGGTGTTGCATCCACTGCATGGTAGCAACTGGTGGTGAGCAAGTAGGCACTGGAAGAGGGACACCTTTCACTGGAACTATGAGAAGCCATTTCCAAAAGAAAGGTTTGCCAGGGAAAGTTTTCCCTTGCCATTCAGCAGGTGAAGCAGGGGCAGGATACTTCAAGTGACAGAGGGGAGAGAATAAACAAAGGCAGAAGCCAGTCCCTGAATGGCACAACAAGATGTAGCAAGGGATGGGGAGAGATGTGCCATTTGGCAGAATATCTTTGATCAGCTCTGATTTTCAGCAAGTGACGAACTGCCTGAAACCTGCAGAGTCACACACACATGGTCGCCAACTCTCTGCGCTGGGAATGTTCAGCCTCTTTCAGCTCCAGGCCTGAAGATCATCTTGGAGAAGCTCTCAGAAGTCCCATGCCATTCTGTGCTGCTGTGGGATCCCAGAGGACAGAGGGGGACCCCTGAGAAGATGGATGTGGCCTCTGTGCTCAAGGCAGCACCCAAGCTGCCTAGGAAGATCAGCATGGTCGATGCGAGAACTGTGCCACAGGAACAGTATCTGGCCGTATTGCCAAATGCCATATTATTGGTAGGCTTTTGGCCAAGGGGGAAGAAAATTTCTACTCCTGGAGCAGCAGGGGAAGCTGGCAAGAAATGAGAAAGATGACAAAGGACAGATAGCTTTTAAAGGCCTCTAACAAGCTTGAGGGGAATTATGTTGAACACATCCCAAAACGTGTAGCCAATATCCTCAGGCAAACAAAAATAATAATTGGTCAAAGTTAACCTGCCGTTGCAGTGGAGTTGCAGGCAGAAAGGGATTGTGGGAATTACTCCTAGAGCAAATTGTTCATTCTAAGGGATTAAAATAAGATAACTAAATAGAAATGTTCTAAGCTCTCTCTAGGTTTTTAGTCTAACCAGCTCACTGCGAGATTTCAAAGAAGCCCCTGAGGACTTAGCTTTCAGAAGTGTTGAGAAATTTTAAGACCCCAAAGGCAGGTAGAAGGATTGTGGGGAACCAGAACACCTAAAATAGAGATGAAAATATAAAAATGTAGTATAGTCAGCAAAAAAAAAAACTTTCTCCTGAAACCACCAATCCCATCTTTTGCATCCTGGCTATTATGACATTTGAGGAATGCTCCATTTAAAAAAAAAATCCATTCTGTCTGAATTTCACAGAGAGTCATCTGCTTTTTCCTTTGGTACCCATTCATTGATAGATCTACTTTTGGGAAAGTATGTAAAAAAGGAAAGAAAGAGAAAATTTTACTGCAATTTAAACAACTTTCAGTGATGGCACATAGTATGTTGTGTATTTGTCTTAAGTTGACATACAATCTGTGAAAAAG